TACTTTGTGCAACACCTGTTTACCGAAAAAAAGAAATTTTTATACTTTTCTAATCAATAAATTATTTTGTGTAACAGCTATGTAGAAAGTATTTCTTTACTTGCCTGTAAAGTAGGCGAAAAGTAGTACTTTTTTGCACATGAGCAGCAAAGTAGTGGAGACCGGGGCGTAATAGCTAACTTTTCACTTTTTGTGGTTTTACTCGGATATTTTTGTTCTAATTGAATGTTTATCTTCCAGAAAAGTTACTCTGGTATCTCAGCTTTCTTTTAAGACTACAAACGTCCCGATATGACTTCTACTTTTTATTCTACAACAGTTTTTCTGGAGCAATGCAGAACTCCAAAATACGCCCCGAGCCGGGGCGTAATGGATAACTCCTGGGGCGTAATGAATAATGATTGCTAATTATTATCTACAGTTTCCAATCTTATTGTATATTGTAAATTAAGGTTCCTAGGTATTCCGTGAATGCTATTTTTATTCAGCAATACTTCTCCTATCGCTTTTTCAATAATATTCTGTTATATTGGCACTTTCTCAATTTTTTTTGTAATTTCTCATTAAAATCGTAGCTTGAAATCTACTATTTGTAAATTTTATACCAAAACTTTAAAATTTTGTTAAAAACACCTAAACATACTTAAACTATTTGTTTATACACTCGTCTTAAGACTACAATCTTGGCTATACAAGTGTTTGTTTACATCTCGTAAATTTCTCTTACAAATTTTTCCCTGACAAACTTAATACTAAATTTTGCGCCTACAGAGCGACTTGAAAATTAGGAGTACTCGCATTTGCCTGGACCACCCGTCTAATGGGTTTTCTCGCCAGTGGAGAGGGAAACTGTAGAAAACCTCTCCTGAGTACAACCGGTTTATCGACAGTCGAGTTCTAATGGTCTGTACCGGACAATAATCGACGGTGCACATCATTATACCTCGACGTCAAACCTCCCGCTCAGATTGTCTCACGTGCCGAAAAAATACCAAGCCGAATGGGCGCGAACCATGGGTACTCACCCTTGGTCGCGGTTGCACTGAGCCGCGTGGCAACCGGCGTGAGACGAGGCGCCCGGGACGCAATTTATTCTTTGAAATGTAATAACTCAAAAACAAAAAAAGGGCATTCTGAAAATTTATATGCCGTTAGGAAAAAACCTCAGCTTTCGTTTGCAATAATTTATTTTCAAAAAAACGGACCGATTTCTGGGAAATTGAAAATTAAATATTAATTATCAAAAATTAGGGTAAATTTTTAAAATATTAAAAAATAAAATTCACCATTGGAAAGAGGACGAAAAAACCTTTCAGAAACATATTCTAAAAAATTTTTCCCATTACAAGTATGTTCTGAAAAAATTCACAAAGTAGCCGGTGTTAGCAAAAATTGGTCAAATTGACCCCCCTCTACCCCCGATCTGGGAAGGTGTTTCATGCCATGATATGGCCTAGATATGGCAATTTCTACACGGGGTAGAATACCTGTTTTTACAGTACTATACACGTAAAAAACCACGTATATTACTTCGCTTCAAGTACCCGAAATGGTGTACTTTCCGAGTAGGTAAAACAAAAAAGTAATTTCGTCAACGTAGTAGCGCTAATTTTAGGTACCTTTATTTAAAAGAATATTCTTGATATTTTCTGGAATAAATTCAAAATAAAAATGATCATCTTTATCATCTTTGAAGTTGTCTTCTTCTTTATAATTCACCGCATAGTAATCAAAATCATCGTCATTATCATCATCATCATTATCATCATCATCATCATCATCATCATCATCATCATCATCATCATCATCATCATCATCATCATCATCATCATCATCATCATCATCATCGTCGTCGTCGTCGTCTTCATCATCATCATCATCATCATAATCATAATCACCGTCGTCATCATATTTTCGGATCTTTTTCGGCTGTCCTAATATTTCTCGAATCCTATTCGAGTCAGCTTCATCGTCCTTTTTGAAATTATAATCTTCATCAGGGTCGCTACGTACTTTTTGAAAGTTATAATCCTGACGTTGCCTTCTTGATGGCTGACATTTTTGTTTTAATTTACTTAACCTTTTATATTGATTACCTTTTTCTTGTAATAACTGAGAATAAAATAATAAAATTATAAAATAATTAATAATATGTGGACGTCCACATGAAAAGGGCCTATTCTGGAACTATTGGACTTATCCATATGAGTGAATTCCTTGCAAAACTTAGAGAATTTTGAGAGTATAAAGATTGTTATTATAATTTTATATATTTTAAAAGTTATAAATAAAAAAACTAAATGAGGAAACTCCTCACGATGCAACAGATGGAGGTCTAAGGATTGAATAGATGGCTTTTTGCAATACCTATTGATATTCGATAATTTTAAATTAAATGTTTATTGCATTTTTTAAAAAAAGCCACTTTCTGTCCCTTAGCGCACAATATACTATTTAAGAGTGTTAAGAAACCGAATGAATATAAAAATAAACTAAATTTATAATTGAGCGAAACCCTATTTTTATGAACGAATTTGTAAATAAACAAGTGTAAATTAAATAAATAAATTATTTAACTTAGTTCTTTTTAATGGCTACCTTCTCAGCGTGTATTCCTGATTCAAAAGTGGATCCATCATCCTGATCGATTTGGTTCAATGGAGGATACTTCAATCGATACTTATTTTTCCTTTGTATAGCTTTATCTCTTGTGCCTAATAATTTATATCAATGGAATTTATATTGGTAACCAATTAAATGTACAATATTTAATTTGACAATTTATAGTTGTCAAATTGTAAATAACAAATTTGTAAAAGTACCAATAACGGAACACTTTAAAATTTCGTCCCTATTACGGAACAGTATTACAAAAATTGAAATAAATGCAATTAAAATTAGTGGTAAGAAAATTCTAGTTATTTCAATAAATTTTACACAATATAAGAATTATTATTTCTGTATAGTATTTAATTTAATAAGAAATGTTTAATTTTCTACCAAAAAAATTGGCTTTTTAATTATCTATTAAACTAAAATTTGTTCATTGTATTTAATTCTTTATAATTAATATTTAAATTTTTGAGATAATTCAATAGAATTGTAATTACTTATTGAATCAAATAAAGTGTTCTAGGTGTTCCTTAATAGGGACATTCAATTTGGAACACCCGTACACAGAGAAAATGATCGTTCCGTAATAGGTACAGTGCAGAGTTTTATAATTTAATTAATATTATTCTTATTTCATAAAAAATAATCATTTCAGGTCTTAAATACTATTAATAAAATAACAATCTTTCAATATATACCCTAATTATTCATATTAACACTTCTAATTCCAAGATATTTATCATAGAAATTTAGTTAGGTTAAAAAGCGTTCCGGTATTGGTACCTTTATCTTATAAAAAATTTTAATTTTCTCATAAAATTTTTTTATCCGAAGTATTGGCAAAATCTAGCTAAGTAAGTTTTATAGCCCTGACTAAAGACTCTACTGTCTTTATTATTATTTTTGTACATGAATATTAGTTTTAATGTCAATTTTCATGTTAATACTGAGAAAAATATTAACCTTAAAGTGATTGAATGTGAAACTTTTTACCCTATTTTTTATCAAACTTTAATATGTATATATATGTTTGAAATGCAAACTGGACTAAATAATATATTTTTGAAAATCGAAAAATAACTTACTGTTATTCTCGATGAATGCAATTAATGCACGGCACCATTTATTTTCATTTCTGAAACATTTGGCTAAGTATGATTTGCATGGATTAAATTTCTCGGTATCAATTTGCACATTTGCTAATGGTATAATATAAGATTGGTTTTTATGCCCGGGACATTCTTCAATGTATTTTATACAAGCCCAATCCATTTTTAATATTTTAATAAGAATTTCAAGAAATAATTGAGAATCTGAATTTCATTTCGATAGTATCGATATCGTTGATAAAAATTTAATGCAATTTAATGTTACATTTCTTCGTGTAGCGAAAGATTTGGTTTATGAAATTAAAAAAAAAATATCGTTATGATAATTATCAATATATTTTTTTTGAAGATAAAGAGCCCAGAAAGAAAATTTTTTAAAAATTTTTTTAACCAAATTGAAAAACAGACTTTTTAATTGTTCGGAATCGAAAAAAGCATTTATCCAAAAATATTTCCTAGCTGAATTATTACTGAATTAAAGAAAAGTAATTGTTGTAAACAAGTATAACCATTAACAAATTCACTGTTTGGACAGTTTTTGGCGTAAGAAGGTGTTTTCTTCTGATAATTTGTGTAAATTGTAGTTATTTATAAAAGTTGTAGCGGTAATTTATAAAAATGTAATAGCGCGAATCTCAATTAAAAATTATTATTCAGTAATTTATGGAAATTTTTGCTATAATTAATAAAAAATGTTCCACATAAGTTACAATTAAAAATTTTTATTTTAGAACTCGAGGAAGTTAATTTTTACTTTCAATAAAGTAATTTTAAGTAAATTAAATAAGTTATTCAATATAATTAATTAATAATTAAATAAGCGTATGTTTCTTGTTTGCAGCTTTCGGATTTCAACATAACAGCAAGAAAAATAGTATAACAACAATCTTGTTCAATAAATGCGTTACTTAATAATTCTTCAACAATTTAAGGAAATAAAAAAATTGTCATACTTAAAAAAAATAAATTAAATTAATCGATTTCTGTTTTTAAAGTACTGTATTCTATGTACTGTAAAGTTTTTAAATAAAAAAATATAGCCTTATTCTAAAAAAGCATTTTGAAGTTGTATCAAAAAAGATGTTTATATGGTTTCAAAATACGTATATTTTATAAACGAAAAAATTTACAATCACATAACAATTAATAATAATAATAATAATAATAATAATAATAATAATAATAATAATAATAATAATAATAAACAACAAATAATAAACAAATCAAATTATAATCTAGGAAATAATTAATGTATATATGTATTATTTGGTCTTTTGGGTGTAAGTTCGTGAAGAAATATAATGAGAAGAAGAAAGTAAATAAGATGATGGAGAATCAAAAAAACCACAAGAAGAGAAGCTTTCCATTTTCTTCTAATTTTCAAGTGTACGTATGTACATGTGTGTGTTAGAGTAAGAAAGAAGAGAATATTTTATTGTCAGGTTGCATGAGTTCACACTTTAAGCCACTAAGTGATAGAAATTTGTTTCTGAAGATTCTACACTCTCATAAAGAAAAATTCTCTGTGCATCTATGGGCTTGGATTCTAGAAGGATATTAATTAAAGATTTGTTTTCAATTATCTGACAAGTTGTATCTGACATGCCTTGGAAGTAAACTTTCAAATGTGCGTCCTTTTGCTTCTATACAACATTTTGCTCTCCTGATCAAGTTCAAGCTGCATCTTTTTAACATTTCAGGAGTGACTGTTAAAAAAGCTTCTTTTATTCTCTCCCGTATCTGTTCTTGGTTTTCAACAGGTTTTGAATAAACGTGAGCTTTAACATGCCCCCAAAGAAAAAAATCGCATGGAGTTAAATCCGGCGATCTTGGGGGCCATTCTCTTTTTGTACCGAGCGCAATAATACGTTTTCCGTATAATGATCGAAGAGTCTTCAACGCCACTTTACTTCGGTGAATACCCGCTCCATCTTGCATAAATCTATACTTCCTACCTGCTGCGATTCCACTAGCTCTAACTAACCTAGGAACGTAGTTCTTTAAGAAGTCACTGTATCGTTTTCCATTCATGTATCCATTAATTTGGAAAGGACCGATCTGAAAATAAAGGAGATTAGTATCAAGAATAAAAAAGTTTAAATTTATTTACCATTAATATCTAAATTGCAGCAATATTGCTACCATCGATTTAAAACAAAAAATTTGCCTTAGTAATTTTTTGTAGTATTCGTGCGAATAAATCAGAAATTTTGTTCAGAAATCAGAAATTTTTTCAATAGGGGAGAGTGGGGCAAACCGGCCAGGTGTCAATATCTCCAAAATGGCGAAATTGGCAAAAGTGCTATTTAGAAATTTGAAACAACCATGTGTAGTATATTTTACTTTTGTTTGTGCAACGCTGGGAGTAAAAGTTTTTTTTATTTTTTTTACACTTTTACGAATTTTTTCTTAAGGAAATTCTAAGGAAATCGTGTAATATTTCCAAATATTAGGTCTTGGGTTATGAAGGTACACACCTCAGGAATATTTACCACCAAAAACTTTGATGAATTTGCAAAGCGTTTCTTTTAAACAAATATTTATTCTCAAAATGAGCCTGTGGGGCAAACCGGCCATAGGATATTTTCATTGTATTAGAGTTCCAAAAAAATTATTATTAATTAGAATGTTTTTTTCATTAAAATTTTTACTTTCAATGAAAAATAATTATCTTCCAACGAGAATTAGACCCTTTAATATTGTTTCTCTGATAATTTCAAACATTTTTTTCGGTTATTTAAAAAAATTATTTATTTAATTAAAATTCCATCCTGTATTATTATTTACATTATTACAACCATTGTTTGCATGATTCTTTATGTTTGTTGTTATTGTAGATTATAAAAATGCAATATTATAGATAAAAAACGTAGATGGCCGGTATACCCCAGGGGGTGGGGCAAACCGGCCAGTTTGCAATTTTTTAAAAAATTAACACAGCAACTAAACAATAAAAGATAAAGTTTAGGTGTCTCTAGGAAAAAGTTGCGCAATTAAATGATCTTTCTAACAAGCCATCGAAAAATGAAATCGGTTGATTCGTTTAGTCACAAGAGTAAAAAAAAATCGTGGGTATGGCCGGTTTGCCCCCTCTCTCCTAATTATAAACCACTTTTTTGTAAGAATTTTGTACAATATTCTTAAAAAATTGCTTACTAATGTTGTATGCATATTTATTAAAAATTCGTCAAATACTAAAACCGGAATCATTTGTTTTGTAGGACGCTTACCAATTGGCCATCTAGAATCCCAGCCCACAGATGCACAGAGAATTTTTCTTGATGAGAGTGTGGCATCTCCAGAAACAAATTTCTGTCACTCCAGTAGTGTTCATTTCTGTAGTTGAATGGACCTTCTCTAGCAAAACGACACTCATCGGTGAAAAGAATGTTATTTATAAAAGTGGGGTCACGCTCGTGTCTTTTTACAAGCCACTTGCAAAATTTTAAACGCCTTTTACGATCAAACCGGTGGCTTAGGGTGTGAACTCTTCTAAAGCTGTAGTCATGCAACCTGCCAATAAAATCAAACATTGATAAATAACATATTAAATATTTAATATTATTAAATATTTTATATTTTTTTAAGACAAATCTTTGGAACCTTTAACTTTCATATCTCCGCATATATTTTGATAATATTTTAATCGAACTTTAAATTTGAATTATTTTTTGACAGATTTTAAAAATTATTTTTTTAAGTTTACGAGTAAAATTTTTTAATTATTGTATTCCATTTATTATTATTATGCAAATTACAAAACTTTTTATTTTCAAACATGAATTTTTGAAAAATTTCAGATTCAAACTTTCAAAAAATTCAATTATTAACTAATTTAATAATTAATTATTGTTGTTTATAAATTCAAAATTTTTATTAAAATTCTTCGCGCAAGAATTCAATTATTTTCATAAATAATAACATTCTTTGTAAGAATTTAATTATTTTTATAAATAAAAAATTTTTTTGCAAAAATTGACAATACTTTTCAATAAAATTTTTCGAAGGAATTCAATTTTTTTTTATTTTGAATAAAATTTTTCGATAGAATCCAATTATTTTCTAAAATTTTAATAAATCCTTCTAAACAATTCAATTATTTTTAGATGTTATAGTAAAATTAATCGCCAAATCAAATTATTTTTATAAATAATAAAATTGTTCTCAGGAATTCAATTATATTCGATATAGTTTTAATAAACGTGTAAAAATTATCAAATATTTAATTATAATTATTACCAGACACAATAATTTAAAAAAATTGAAAAGAATTTTATTTAATTCAATTATTTTTAAAATTTTCATTTAAAATTATTTTAAAAAATTAAATTTGTGTCGAAAAGAACTTAAAGAAGTTCTTCAAAAAAATTAATTATTTACAAATTTCTAATAAAATTATTTAAAAGATTTTAATTTTTTATTAATAATTTTAATGAAAGTTTAATTATTTTCTATATTTTAATAAAATTCCTTGAATAAATTATAATATTTTATAGAAAACTTGAATTATTTTAAAAATCTGAAAGAAATTGTTCATAAATTTTAATTACTTTCAAAATTTCCAATTAAAATTATTAAAGAAACTTAACTATTCAAAAAAAAAATTGTTAATAAATAATTTAATTTTTTAGTAATTAGTAATAAATATAATAATAAGAATAATAATATATTACGTAATATAATTATTATTATTATAAATTATTTATTTATAAATTTATAAAAATAAACAAAAATTGTTTATTGAAAAGTTAAAGGTTCTAGATATACGATCATATAATAAATAAATTTAAATCCAGTATTATCTCTATTATTAAACTTAAAAATTATTTTAAACTGTTAATATCTATTTGAACTAACTTTGCTTCCTTTACTGTCGCCTGCGCCATGGAATAAGAAACACCATATTTTTTCGCAACTGCTCGTAGTCCGGTTCGAGGATGTTCGCGAACATATTCTAGAATTTTTTCTTCAACCTCAGCTGTTCTCCTCGACCTTGGTCTCCCTGATATATTTTTATTATCAGGTTTGATTGGTCCTCCTTCGTTAATTCGAATCATCGTCCGTGTAATAACTTGGTGCCCGGGAAATCGCTGATTGTCTGGGTACTTTTCTCTATATAGTTGAGCAGCTCTATGACAGTTACCTCCTGATAATGCATGGCATTGAATCATTTGCAAATATTCTTTTTCTGTATAAACGACCATTTCGTATAATGTGTCAAAAAAAGAATGAATGTTTTGTCACAATAACAAAATAAAAGAATACGCCAACGTTTACTTCACTTTAGTAATGTGAATTAAGCAGTAACTGAGAGAATATTAAAAAACTTTATAAATCCATATTTTAATATTTGCAAAAATTTGATTTTTTTATTTCAAATATACTTAGAAAAAAATATAAGGAAGGGTGCTGAGCACGACTAATTGAACTATTGTACGCTAGACAATGAAAGAAATTTATTTTATTTGTCTCATTGTTCAGATATAATTTATTTCTCAAATTTTACTCTGTTGCAAGTATTATTATAAAATTTCCAACTAGAATTGCAACGGTGTTACCATATAACATTCCCAATTATAATATTTTTCTAAGTTGAAATGAATAAATAGGATAAAAGGCTTAAAGAAGATTTTGATTAAATCTTAAGTATTTATTTAATTAAGAAGCAAAATATAGTACAAATATTCAAAAATAATAAATTTATATTCTGAATTTTCTTTTGACTAAAAATATAAAAACCTGCAATGTACTGCTCCGCGTGGCAGGGTGCGCAGGCATAATAATAACAGTTATTACTATATTTTTTAAACCAGAATTTAAATATTGTCGATTTTCGGGAACTGTTTTGTTATACAAAGATTATAAATGAACAAAAAAATTTTCATTTTCTTCTCAAATTATCCAAAAATTTTGTAATACATTTTTTGAATTCGTCTGTTGATAATTTCTGCGTACAGTTTTTAAATACATAGACTGAAATAAAAAATTGACTTTTTAAAAAAAAGGTTTGAAAAAATAAAATTTGAATTGCTTTAAAAAAAGAATATTTACTCGACTGTTTAAACTTTAAAGGTAAGTGAAAATAAAAATTAAATTAAATCAACACATTTTGCAAGTTATACAGAGTTAGCTTTTCTTTACTTGTACAATTTCAATAAAATAAATATTAATTTAATAAAAGGAACAATTAAAATAATTACAAAATTAATAGTTTTTTTATAGTTATTTTGATAATTTAATTATAAAAATCAATAGATTAAAAAAAATATATTTTTAATAAAATTGTTTCAAAAATTTTGATTTTTTTTAAGAATAAAAATTGATAAAATTAAATTTTTATTATTATTATTGTTTTACAAAATGATTAATTTAATTTGTAGGTAATTAAAATAATTATTCAGTTATTAATTACAATATTAATTTAAACAATCATAACTAATTATTTCATATAATTAATAAAATTAATTAATTTTTTTTATTCAATTTTATGAACTTCGTGTAATTAAAAATTTAATATTAAATAAAATAGGTAATTTCTATTACTCCTATTATTCTATTAACAAAAAATTTTATCTTTATATAAATTTATAGAAATTTCCCTGGCCTAAAAAATTCCCTGACTTCCCTAACCGTTAGATACTCTGAACAACATCGTTTATATTATTAGCTAAAATGTTAAGAAATTTAAAGTCATTTTCAAATTTCAATATTTTGAAGTTAGTTATAACAAACGAATTGCAATATTGTATTATTTTCAAAAAAGTTTTTTCATATTTACGAATTGTGTTTGGACATTTGCAAAATGTATTGTTTAGTACATTGGGTGACTGAAAAAACTGTTAGTGTTGTGAAGGAAAGTGAAATTCAAAAAAAAAATCAGGATCAGGCAACTGTTAAATGGGGAAATAAAACCTATAAAGCAAAAATTGTGGCAATTCATAGTTAGTATTATTGAGGTTAAAATGTTATTCTCATTTCATTTATTTCCCTTTCAATTACTTTAAAAATGTTGTAATTTTATATTTTACTTTTGATTATTATTCAATTCTATAAAATTTATTAATACAAAAAGTTTCCAATTTTTTATACATATCGAATCTGTCCTGAACCTTCTTCTTAAATCTACAAAAAAAGTTTTAAGATAATTGCTTTTTATTTCACAATTTTATTCCATGTCTTCTATTCTAACAACCAAACAATCTTTTTCACATTCAAACTTTAATATTTTCTACTTTTCTCTTACATTTCTTTTTAAATGCTTCATGTACCTGTTTTTTATGTTATGTAAATTTCTTTAATAATTTTTAGATGACGCAGAATGGCTTCAAAGCCTTATTGTCAATAAACATGGCATTATTATTGATAATACGTGTGAATCAAGTAACACTGGTAAATATTTTAAGATCATTTTTTATCTAATACGTACAAAAATAGTGCGCTCTTATAGTCAATGAAAGCGTCATTTCATGTTATTAGTCATCAACAAGAAATGTTAAAATTTAATACAATTTAATTATTTATAATTATCTTAACAGATGCATCGACCTCAACAGAGTTATTTCAGGAGTCTTCATTCTCTGATTTGGAAACTAATTTATCAAAATTATCGATAGTGCAAGAAAAGGATGTCATTGAATCAAGTGAAATTGTTTTAAACGAAGAGGAGCGAGAAAAATTAAATCGATTTATAAATAATGCAAAGAAAATGACCACAACTATTTTATCTTTTAAATTCGGCAAAAAAAGACTTAAAAAAATGGCTCTATCTGCGAAGAATGACTATGAAGTTATACCAGAGGAAACAATTAAAGCTATTGAGGGTATTAAAATAATTATTTTTGTGTATTTATATGTATTTTTTTTTAAGATTCATAAATTAATATTTTTCTATTAGATTATGTATTGGAAAATTGTAAAGAAAAAATAACAAGAGATAAAATGCGTAGGAGTATTACAAAATTTTGTAACAACCTAAGAAGAAAATGATTTGTGCCGTATTCTGTTCTATACGCAGGTCTATTTCTATACGTTTGACTCACTCTTTTTTTTAAATTCTCTAATTTTAGTCACAATAAAATATCAACAATATTATTTAATATATATATATATATATACTTTCAAATAAATAATTCTTTTTTTAATTCTAAAAGTTGATTAGAGAATTTATAAAACATCTTATCTAAATTTATTGTGTTAAGACTTTTTTATGTCTCTATCCTTGTCAATAAATTAAAAGATATTAACAATAAATCAAACAATTGGAATTTTTTTAAAGTTACTTTTTAATTATTTTTTGTAATACTTAAATTCTCAAAAATATGTAATTACAAAAATTAAGAGCATCCGGGAATTGTCGCTCTCAAAAAGTGGTTTCTCGTCTGTCATTTTATTATATATAGAGGTGAAATTTTTCGATTTACTTAAAGGAGAGCTTACTAATAGAGAATATTTTTAAGTTTTGCAAGTAATTTTTGAAAAAAATATTAAAAAAGAAAGTTGAAAAGTTGAATTTTTGGAGAAAGTGAGCGACAATATGGCGGAGAGCACACACACAAGTGGATTTATGTGTCAATGGTCAAGAAGATAGCGCCAATTCAAGCTGGTGGCCGAGAATGGATATAACGAAATGTCTCAACCACAAATTACTCCACTTTCAATAGCTAATAAAATAATTTCCACGCAAAATTATTGCAAAAACGGAGAGGGGAGTGCATTAGAGAATCTTCCTCTATTACCCCTCCAAATGTTAACCGGAAATATTTTATTCATTAAAAATAAGACAGCGATAACAAACCGTTCAAAACCCCCTTTTCCAAATGTTTAAACAATTTTAAAAATAATTATTTATCAATATTTTTAAAAAGTCCAAGAGCAGCATGTATCACAGAGCATTTATCTATATTTACCAATCATCCCGACTCAAAATATTCCATTCTTTTTAAATGAGACAGCGATTATCAAGCCTCAAACACTTCCTCATTTTTATTATCAAGCTAGTCCACAAATACGTCTTCATTTTTATTATCAAACTAGTCCTCAAATTCGTCCTGGTTTTGATTATCAAGATAGTCCTCAAACACGTCCTCATTTTTATTATCAAGCTAGTCCTCAAATTCGTCCTCGTTTTTATTATCGATCTAGTCCTCAAACGCGTCCTTATTTTTATTATCAAGCTAGTCCTCAAACGCGTCCTCGTTTGTATTATCAAGCTAGTCCTCAAATGTGTCTTTTTTTTATTTTTGAAGCTAGTCCTCAAATACGTCCTCGTTTTTATTATTAAAACTAGTCCTCAAACGCGTCCTTATTTTTATTATCATGCGAGTCCTCAATTACGTCCTCGTTTTTATTATTATAACTAATCCTCAAACGCGTCCTCATTTTTATTATCAAGCTAGTCCTCAAACGCGTCCTCATTTTTATTATCAAGCTAGTCCTCAAATACGTCCTTATTTTTATTAACAAGCTAGTCCTCAATTACATCTTTATTTTTACTAGCAACATATACCTCACTCGCTAACGCTCGTTCGGTTGTATTTAAACTTATTAGTTTTTACTTATTTTTTTTTTTTATTTGAACTAAGTAAATATTTACTGGACATAAATATTTTAATTTATGGTATCTATTAAATAGTTATTTGAACCAAATACAAATTACTTAAGTCAATTAAATAGAATAATTTAATTTAATAAATATTGCTTTAAATCAATTATAAAAATTACTTGATTAAATAATGCATAGTTTTTAATTAAAATAAATATTTATTTGCATCAATAAAATAATTTTTTTGAAATAACTAAACTTAGAAGGTTAGATTTTGAATGTTAGCCTGATTCTCTGAATAATTAGTAAGAAAAGGGCGAAGATACGTCCATTCTTTTCTTACTAATAGGATTTTCTGTAGGTAATGATCAGGGTGTTTTTTTGAAATTTTTACTGCACTATTCTTACGCATGTCACCGTCACCAATATTGTTACAATATATATTGTAACAATATTGTTACAACAAAGTCTAGACTTTGGGTTTTTGCAAGTCTAGACAATATAGTTGTATAATAATATAAATTTTTCTTTCTAAACCAGAATTTGAACATTTACAAAATTAAAACCTTATAGTGGTTAGAAAATGTAAAAAATTATTAATATTTATAAAAATATAAATTATTTTATTTAAAATCATTGTGTAATAAGACAAAAATTATGAAGTGACATTTACAAAAAATGTCATTGTACATTATACGAAATGTTATTTTTACGTATTCTCTTACTAAACCTTTCATTTTCGTCCGCTATCCTGGATTCGCCATTTTGTATTTTTAAAAAGTGACTTTGGATTCATAATCAGTGGAATTTTACTGAAAATCAGTTGAAAAGTACTAAAATATCAGTCATTCTTCACTGATTATTATTTTATTGTGATTTATTTATTAATATTGTAAATTTCTGTCAAACAAATAATTTTACTAAAAGTCAGTTGAAAATTACACTTACAGTAGTGTTTCATTCGAGCAACACGATCCGAGAAACGAAAAAAAAAACGATTTTCTTTTTGTTTTGATAACCAAGCTGTCATGTTCGCTCGTCTTATTGAAGTAAATTTTCATAAATGTTTATTTACATTATTCGAAGATAATTAAATCTTAAAAAATTACTATAAAAAAATTCTAATAATATTAGTTTTTAAAAATATTATAATGTTATTTTTCGAAAATAATTGAATTTCTTAAAATAATTCTTATATCCTAATTTACCTTTAAAAATTTTTTTTAAATTTTTGGTAATTCAATTATTTTCAAAATTTGCAATTAAAATTCTTCAAAAAATTGTAACAAAATACTTGAAATAAATTAATTATTTTCAATTAAATTTTGCACAATTTCAACTATTCAAAAAGGTTTCTATTGTAGACATATTTGAAAAATTTAATTGTGTTAAAAAATTATTCAAAGAAATCTAAGTATACTTATTTCTAATTATCTATAACTTAATCTATTGAAAATTTAGAAAAATTACATCAAGAGGACAAAACTTTGTTCTTTCGTCTACTTTTGAATAATGTTTAGAAAACTAAATTTTTATTAATGTTTATTAAAAAATTATTTTATACCTAAAAATGTTAAATTTTTTTAATTTAGGCATGATTACAATCACAGGCACACAAAAAAAAAGTTGTCTGTTCATTGAACAAGACCTACATGTCTTATAGTATTTTGGCCCCCTGAATACGAACATGAAGTCAGAATTGCTCCAGCACCCTCTGTTTTTTTTAAATCGAAAAAACTACCCTTAAGTCTAAAATTCAAGAATTAAAGTAAAAAAAAATAAAAACACGGCTTTCTTCGGAGTAGAAGAATATATTTGTGCGTTTTCTTCTTTCAACAACTCAAATAATGTCAAAATTGCTCCACCACCCCTGTTTTTTTAAATAGGAGAAACTACCCTTAAATCTAAAATTCAAGAACTAAAGTCAAAGAATGAAATAACCACTTTTTTGCGAAGTAGAAGAATATATTTATGCGTTTTCTTCCTTCAACCACTCAGAAATATTGTCAAAATTGCTCCACCACCCCTGTTTTTTTAAATGGGAGAAACTACCCTTAAATCTAAAATTCAAGAACTAAAGTAAAAAAATATGAAATAACCGGTTTTCTTAGGAGTAGAAGAATATATTTATGCGTTTTTTTCCTTTAACCTCTCAGAAATAATGTCAAAATTGCTCCACCACCCCTGTTTCTTTTAAATGGAAGAAACTACCCTTAAATCTAAAATTCAAGAACTAAAGTCAAAGAATGAAATAACCAGTTTTTTTGCGAAGTCGAAAAATATATTTATGCGTTTTTTTCTTTCAACAATTTAGAAATAATGACGAAATTGCTCCATCACCCCCTGCCCTTAAATCTAAAATTCAAGAATTATAGTAAAAAATGATATAACAGGTTTTTTCCAAAGTAGAAGAATATATTTATGTACTTTTTAAAAAAGCATCAGCATTGCTTCATCACCCTCTTATTGATTTATATTGAAAAAACTACCCCTTTAAGTATGAACCCAGAGTATACTAACAACAATAAAAACAATTAGTTTTAGACAAAAGCATACGTTCCTTTATTTTTGTTCTCATAACTAAAAAGCAGAATCAGAGTTAATTTATCATTATTTGTTGTTGAAAGAAGAAAACGCATAAATATATTCTTCTACTCCGAAGAAAACCGGTTATTTCATTTTTTTTCACTTTAGTTCTTGAATTTTAGATTTAAGGGTACTTTCTTCGATTTAAAAAAAAGTAGGGGTGGTGGAGCAATTTTGACATTATTTGAGTTGTTGAAAGAAGAAAACGCATAAATATATTCTTCTACTCCGAAGAAAGCCGTGTTTTTATTTTTTTTTACTTTAATTCTTGAATTTTAGACTTAAGGGTAGTTTTTTCGATTTAAAAGAAAACAGAGGGTGATGGAGCAATTCTGACTTCATATTCGTATTCAGGGGGCCAAAATACTATTAGACATGTAGGTCTTGTTCAATGAACAGACAACTTTTTTTTTTTAATAATAAAAATTTAAAATAATTATTTTTAATTTTTATTATTTAAATACACAATTAAAAATAATAATAATACTCCGCAAAAAAGCCCAACTAATAGAAAAATAAAAAAGTAGGTTAATTTTAAATTTAGATCCAACTATTACAATGTTATAGATTTATTAAGTAATATATAACAAGTAATATTATATATATTTCTCTAAATAAAGATGTCTATTGACTTTTTAAAATTGATTTTCTTAAAAATTTCTTTATTAAAAGTATTAATATTTAAATTTTATA